TCATCCTTTTCTTCTTCTGCCCTATCTTCCATTTCAGTTTTTTGTCAACTGCTATAACCTCATAATGAATGAAGTACAGTGTACAGTTTCCAATGAATTTATTAAAAAATGGAATCTCGATCAGTTTTCCGAAATGTTATGTTGTTGGCGGTATTCTTAGGAGTCCAGACATTATAAGTGCTTACAATTTTCGTAGTCGCTCTGACTGAAACCTACTGTATAAAGACAAAGCTGGCAAATCGAAAAAAAAAAACTCAGTCTGAACTTGGAATTATTAATTGATCCTTTTCCATAAATGGATCTTGATATCTAAGCTTGCTTCTTCTTCGGTACTAAACGTTCAGTTGAAACTAATCATGATAATGTTAAATTTGAAGGGATAAAAATACGTTCTTACCTCAAATTGCCCTTTTTCTCCTGTGAATATGAATGTCCGTACATTTAGCCTATATTTATGAGCAATAATGATAAGACAAATTAATTAATTATAAACAAAATCTTTAACATAGCCACCTGTTGTCAACCAACAATGTACAAAGGTATTTGATGAATGTGAACACCAGCTCTTTGACTAAAGCATCAGTAAAAGACATTTTTTCTCTATTAACGAGCTTTGTCAGTCTGTTTTACGTTAGCCGATGAGAGCTTAAACGTTTCTGTTATTAGCGCGCAGCGGAGCCCCATACCTAAAAGAGAATGCGGGAAACCTATCGATGGCAGAAAATTTGGTTTTGACGTCAGCGTACTAAACCCTCCGTATGGACTCTGGAAGTAGGGTGAATTCATGCGTGAAAACTCATGCAGCATCTGAACTTGTCGGCAGACTAGTGGCTGCAGTGTTAAGGTTTTTTTCATTTCAGCTAAGTTCCAAAACTATCGTGTTCTTGTATGTCCACCACAAAATTAAATACAACTGCTGTCAAGCTTCATTTTCTGTTTTTTTTTTCTTTAACTTAATTGTTTATTTGGTTTTTCTTCAAGGAAAGTGTCGCAAAGGGTCCTTCTTTGATGGTGCGTTTGTTATAGTCAAGTTTTCCGGCGGACTCTAGGAAAAATCTTATAACATTTCAAATTTTCAACTATTCTTGTTCTTCCACTGCCGCCACAAAATGAAATACAGTTGCTATCAAGGTTATTCTGTTATTCGAAGCTGGTTTGTTTATCACTGTGGATCTTATGAGGAAAGGTGAACGAAAGTGAAATTTGAACATGAAAGCTTTTACAGCAGGGTACGGGAAAAGTTTCTGACCTCACTTACTCGCTTTCAGAAGCTACATCCAAGGTAAGCCTGAGCAGCTTTTACAATTTTTTTCTTATTTTAGTTTTGTTGTTAAGTTAGGCGTAAGCTTAAGTATTTCTTGTCATGGGAGACAATATTTCAATGGCCTCGCGTTGCAGAATCTTAAATTTTTTAGGTTGCAAATGAAAAGAGAAAGTTTTTTACTAATAACCAAAGGTATCGTTGGTGCGCGCGAAATAGAATGGAAGGTTAAAACGCTTTTCCTCTAGCGATGTGGTTTGCGTAAGTTTCACGTGACAGATGGTCAAAACACGTGTGATAAAAGGTCCAAACGCGCGTGATGAAAGTGCGTTCTGTGCATTCCATACAAACTTAGTGGAAGTCCAAACGAATACTGCCTACATACATGCGACGCATGCATAATAACAACCTAGAGATTAGGATTGCAAGCTCCTTTTGTAGCCTGCAATAAGAAAACAAGACTTAAAAGACTGGGAAAAAAGATAAAAGAAAATCGCAAACTTTACATTATTCCAAATGGGTTAGTCCATGGTTTTTGTAAAACAAATTTAAAGAGCCTTTCATGTTTTATTTTAAGCAAAAGTGTTTGATGACATTCTTGATAGAAAACAAGACTAATTGTAGAATCTAAAAACAAAGATAAAAGAATGTCACAAAAATTGGCATTTATCCAAAGGGGTTAGTCCATGGTTTCGATCAACAATTTGACAGATTTTTACCTTGTGTTTTTATGCAAAATAGACCGGAAAAGTGTTTAATGACGTTCTTGATAGAGAACAAGACTTTTTTGACTCTAGAAACAAAGATAAAAGTAAATCGCCAATTTTTTGTTATTTCAAGCAAAATTCGCCAGGATTTTCTAGACTTGAAAAAAAATTAAATAAATAAAAACAGCTTTTCTAGACTATATAAACAAAGCGATAAAATAGTCGAAAAAGTTAGATTTTTCCAAAGGGTTTGGAAGACGCTTTTTTAGACAAAATAGGCCGGGAAAATGTGTTTGACGATACTCTAAAAAGAAAAAACGCCCTTCTAGACTATATAAACAAGAAGTTAAAAAAGTCGAAAATTTGTGATTTTTCTAAAGGGGTTAGTCCATGGTTTTGGTCAAAAATTGGCAATTATTTATTTTAGGCGAAATAGGCCAGGAAAATGTGTTTCACGATACTCTGGAAAGAAAAAATGCATTTGTTGACGATAATAACAAGAAATTGAAAAAGTCGAAAAATTGGGATTTTTCCAAAGGGGTGGTCGAAAAGTGTCTATTTTTTCGTTTCATTTGAGGCAAAATAGGCCAGGAAAATATTTTTTACGATATTCTAGAAAGAAAAAACGCCTTTCTAGACTTAAAAAAGAAGACGTTAAAAAGGTCGAATAATTGGGATGTTTTCAAAGGGGTTACTCCAAAATTGGCAATTTTTCCATCTTTTCATTTTAGGCAAAATAGGCCAGGAAATTGTGTTTCACGATACTCTAAAAAGAAAAAACGCCCCTCTCGATTCTGTAAACAAGAAGTTAAAAAAGTCGAAAAATTGGGATTTTTCCATAGGGGTTAGTCCATTGTTTTGGTCATAAGTTGGCAATTTTTGCATGTTTTCAGTTTTAGGCAAAATATTCCAAGAAGATGTGTTTCACGATACTCTAGAAAGAAAAAAACGCCTTAAGTTTCTACTCTATAAAAACAAGACTGAGTCTAAAAAGTAGAAAAGTTGGGATTTTTCCAAAGAGCTTAGTAGACCAATTGATGTCTTCATAAATTGTAGTTAATGAGAAAATCATGAGAATCATGTGTGAGTTGCGTTTTTCTTATCTTGTCACCAAGTGCATGTAGATATTACATATATAGAGTGATTTCACATAACCCGTGAAATAGGTAGTAGAATACTTCGCGCTATTATGCAAAAATTGGGTTCATTGTGCTGCCTTTACTTTAATAGTTGACGAGTACGGTTAGTAGTTTTAGCTATTTAAATATAGTATTAGAATTGATAAGATATAAAAACTACGAGCTTAAAAGGGTGCCAAAAACCTTTCCTTATTGTATACCCAGTTTTGCCATGAAAAGTGAACCTCGACATTAATTTCATTTTCGGGGTTGTGTTTTCTGTAAGGCTCGTTTAATACTTTGATGCCCTCATCCTCTCTGGCAAAGAAGCCTTCCATTGGGCTTTGATTGATTGTGCTAGCAACATTTTTGGCATAGTTGGTCGTTACAAGCATATATAATATTCTCTGCTAGCATAATTTGCACTTTTGGATAGATTTAAAACTGACAAAACCAAGGTTTTGTAAGGCCTAAAAGCAGTGTTACAGGCACCTTTAAGTAAGAAAATCTATTTTTTGGCGTGCTTATTTTCATATTCATGGGACCTGGGTCACACAGGAATTAAACATGACCTCTTTTACAGGACTCAACGCATGCACATAACTAGCTTGGTTACTCAAGATGGTGTCCGTAGGCTTGTTGTTAATTATTTGAGTTTTATTAGACAGTTCGTTGTTTCTGCGGCAGTTGTTGTTGACCTTTGTACGTTCATCTTTAACTGCAATTACTTTTCAAAAATATTTAGCAAGGGGAATTGTTACGAAATATGCACTAGTATAGTTGTTAAATGTAATAGGGTCAATGTGTTTGCCATTTACTAACGGTTTGTTGTACAGTTATTAACTTTCATGTTTTATACCAAATTAAGAGTAAAAAGTAGGTATATAATCTCTGCATAACATAAATTCAAGTTTTTTCATCTTTTGTGTTTATCAAACACAGATCGAGAAAAAGTGTTTGCTGACGTTCTGGATAGAAAAGAAGCCTTTCAAGACTATTAGAACATCTGTACTGTCGCCTAGGACTGCCGCATTGCAAGAAAACCCCCTGCCTTGAAAATATTTGTGTAAATCTACCTTTAATAAAATGAAAATAATAATACTTTCAAAAAAGTAATCACCTTTTTTTAATGAAAAAATGAAAAATTAATGAATTGAAAATAATAATAATAATAATAATAATAATAATAATAATAATAGTTTATTCATCGCTTATCGTTGCAAGTGAAAAAAGCGGCCATGGTCTATGTTGCCATACTTTTTTTCAGTGGGGGAAAAAAAGAAAACATAAATATCGTTACTATAGACCAGAATGCCTTTGGGGTGTCCTATTCAAGATGACGACAACAACGATTGTCAAGAAGACGACCGAGGAGTTAAAAGAGGTCTTAAGTCGTTATGTGAAGCAAAACTTTCCTCGAAATGAACTTTAAGACTTTGTGTCAAGAGATTTTTGTGAATACGCGAGGAGTTTAAGGGCGCTAGACAGAAGACTAGAGTTCTTCAATGGCATCACATGACATACACCGATCGAACCGTTATGAGGTCGATGAGGTCGAAGACCAGTAAGAAGAGAATCGGAAGGGCTGGGAAAACTCCTTGGTTACCCGCGATCTTGTGTATGCAGTAATATACGATGTAGATCCAGATGCATTCGCTGAAAAAGGCTCCTTAACTTAAGAAGAAGAACGGCCAAAGGCAACTTCACATCACGAGGCCCAAACTGAGTTCATGCTCTTGATGGCCACGATAAATTAATGGGCTATCAAAGCAGCACTCTCCCTATCGCCGTTTACGGATGCTTTGACACTTGCAGCCGAAAAATGCTTTGGGCAAAGGTTTGGGTTTACTTGTACCAAGCAAGAACGATAGCGAGCAAGCTTATAGGCTGGATAAAGGATCAGAAACAGGAGTGATGGCTTTAATGCACTCCTTTCTCCGACAGCATCATGGGGACATGGATCCAATGGAAACAGTCATGTATGGGCCATCAACTTCCAATCAAGTATGTGTACTTTTTTATGTGATGCAGTGTTTTTCTCGCACCAAAGTACTTGAACGTGTGTGAAAATGTCCTACCCTTTGACGTTCTTGGTAATTAAAACTTGAAACTCCGTCAGGACATGATGAATTCCAAACCTACAAGGTTCCTTGATTTATACACTCTTATTAGGGAACTACTTAAACTTCCTTGTCTAAAGCTTGTCTTAAGTTCAAAGAGCATCCAAAAGTCAATTAAAATAGATTCTGCCAGGTGTGCTGTAGGTACTTCCGAGAGTGTGTACTGAGCAACATTGCTGTAGCTGAGAATGAGTAACATTTGTACACTGCTTGACCCATAAAATAACAAAGACAAGAAAAGATACAATCTGAACAAGGTGGCTGGTAAGGAGTGTTCAGTTGTATCGACTGAAAACGATAATTTTACTTTTCCTCTCAACCTCAAAAGCTTACAAATGTTGTAACCTGAGATGAGGCTCTATTTTCGTTTCGCTTTGTAAATAACATTCCGGCATGCCAGCCTAAAAAAAAGAGAGCCTGATACAAACCTTCTACGAAACGTCTACCACCCACTTTTTTGATTGATTGACATTTGCTGAATCAGCCAACCAAAATTACTTTGGATCCATTGCTTGTTCCTTTAGTATGCAAAATTTTTCGGACTCGCTGACTTAAAAAAATAGCTTTTATCTTTTAATTTTTTCAACTTGAAATAAAACAGTCAGCACAATCACATTTAACTTCTTGCGAGATTAAAGGAGATCTCGAAGGTTATTTCTGTTGGCATAGAAGATAAAAAGTTTTCAAAAAGATGGTGACACGATGTTCTAGTTTTAGTATTTTGGCTATAGCTAGGTACGCTCAATTTTTAAAATACGGAAATTTTTTATTTTTCTCTTGCCTTTATATTTTTCCCGGCAGTTTTCTCTGTTTTTCAGTACATAAATCTTTAAAAATTTTGGAGAAATATGTCATAAACTTTTTCAAAGGATATATAAATTATCTCAGAGCAAACCAAATGAGTTCTCAAGTGCATTTGATTTAGCTGATTTAGTCCCGTGACTACACTTGCAATTTGCAAAACGTCTTAATCAATTTTTTATAAATCCAGGTAGCCTGTGTACAGACGTCCCCTCTCCCTCAGGAAAAATCGGGAGAGGAGACGTCTGTGAATCGCCGTCGTTAATCGTGTTCCGGTATACATTTGCATAAATTATATTTTTGTTCTTTCGCTGACAGTTGAAAAGGCACATGTAGGTCGAAAAATAGCTCTGGCGTTTGTGCACAGGCTACCAGAACATCTTCACGCAATGTCCACCCAAAATCCAGATATAAGATCTATGATTAAAGTTAAGCCAGGTCAAGCGTACCTCCCAAGATGCCATTAATGTATTTATTATTCGAAAGTTGAACCGTTGGTAGTTGTAGATTTCAGATTCATCTCTCTGTGCATTCTTGCATGCGTAATGAGCTGTGAATTCACACACGATTCAGTTACGAAATTTCTACCAGCTCAATTTCCCTGAATTTGATGTAAATGTCTTCTAAGACATTTAATCCATTCAAAGATTGTTAATCTGACCAAATGCAGTGAGGTTCTCTTAAAATCTTCGCTGCTCATTGCGCATACAGGAATGCCAATTTAAATTTGACACCAGTTACGGGAACGATTAACGGATTCATTTTTTCAAATAATCAATTCATTAATATAATCTTTTGGGGTAAGTTTGACCTGTCTTGGCTGTTAACGTTCGATTTTGTATGCCTTCTCTTTTATTTACAATACCGCAACCGGTGCAGCAAACATCGGTGGTCTTAACTTCTCATGCCTTTTCGAGAGATCCGAAATACAAATACCGGTAAAAAAAATGTGAATGTCCTCAGAGGCTCAACTTTTCCCCCGGGGAATCTATTCTGAGGTTCATTCACCAATCACGACACCGGAAATTATTTGCGTCATGGCATTAACATTACAACCAATGAGAGGCTGTCCCCAACATTTCGGGGAAACCGGAACACGATTATCGTCGGCGATTCACAGATGTCTCCTCTCCCGATTTTTCCTGAGGGAGGGGGGACGTCTGTACACAGGCTAAAATCCAGGTTAATATTATATGCCATTTTGGAAAGACGAAACAACACTACTATAACTGCATTTTCAACTGACCTATAAACAAAACAAAAAACAATATTACAAACACATTTTCTAGTTCTCCTTAGTTGTGTTGTTGTTTTACTGCAGGTGTGAAAATCTCGCTAAATATATCAATCGAAGCTAATAAACAGCAAACAGCCAACAAGCGAGGACACTAGATTTCCTGGTTTATTTGTTTACAAAAAGCGAAGGCAAACAATAAGTCTGTTACATTAAGACTAGCAGCACTACATGTAGCTAGTAATAATGCCACCAAAAATTCCTTGATGCCATATTTTTCGTCTGACAGTTGGTGATTTCATAGTTTCACCATTTCACAGTTGGAGGTTTCTTTCGCAGTGAGCCTCCGCTTGCGTACTCCATTCAGACAAGTCACTCCCGGCTAAACGTTCAAATGAAACCAGTTTTAAGATGGACAGTATTTTGATTTGCACTTGTTTGTTGGTAAATCAAAAGGCACCTTGTTCGTGGTCAACAACTTGCAGAGGGATTTAACTCCACGATACACTTACATTAGTTCCTTAAATAAAGTAAAATCCTGAGAAGGTATGAACAACCATCTGAATTTTCAGAATATCCATAGCACATATTAAGGCATATTTTCCTTCCATAAGACCACAAAACAATAAAAAAAAAAAACACCAAAATCCTTCTCTCCGCCAACGGCGAAGCGCTTCCAACTTCCGTTGATTCCAACAGACAATCAGATCCTGTAGCATTGCTCTAACAGCCAGTTAGCGTTGCGGCCAAAATCTGGCCGCAGTGAGCACAAACTTGTGAGATTTTGTATCAGGCTTAACTTTTAGCAGTAGCCACTAGAGAGAATGTATGAGAACCGCTAAAATTGGGCCTGATCTCAGGTTACAAATGTTGAGACTTTAAACATAAAGCTAATTAAGCTAGCAATTTTCTGGGAGATATTGTAAAATCTGGGGAAAAATTCCATCTTGGGACCTTAGAGAGTGGAACCTTACCTTTGAGGATGTGCATGAGGTGTATATCAGCAATTGTAGACAAAAACTGTACACACCAATATAGCATTTAACACAGTGGCGTAAGTGGGTTGTAAATAGATGCTGAGTGAATGTAAGTAAGACAATTCCCCTAACAGTATTTAAAAAAGTCGTAGAGTACTGGCATTATGCTTATTATGTATATTATCTGCCACAGTTTTGCCGGGTTGTTGATTTTTTTTGTCGTTGTGTACTTGAATACCAACTTTAGATTGAACTGTGGTGGAAAGAGCTCCATGAGAGGCTTGAACAATTTTTCAAGTTTTCCTTTTAAAAATGAACTTAAAGAAAAAGGGCATTGCGATCCTGGTGATGAATCCCACAGGTAACAGGAAGGACTTGCTTTTTGTATAAATTAATACATCAGTCAATTCCAACAGTGGCTATGCCTTCTCCCTCCAACTCCTCCCTCTCCATTCCTCTCCATAGAAATTTTATTTTTTTATTATTATTAATTTATGGGCAAATATGAAAAGGACCTTACCCCTTGATAACACTGAGATATTTTAATGCAAGCTGTTTCATTAGGTCGATTTTACTTGACCTGTGAAACAGTTGATAACAAATACATGTAGCGTGAAATGGCTACAAAAAAAAAACAAAAACAAAAACAAAAGGAGACAATAGAATTAGTGCATTATAGCATGTAGTACTCTACTACCTCTTTCATGGGTTAAGTAAAATCACTCGACTATCAGACGGTTCATAAAAGTTAGATAATTGAGTAGAATATTGAGAGAAGCATTGAGTGGAATATTGAGACAATCAGTATCAGGAATATTAAGAGAATGCATTAAGATTGAATGATGCAGATTGAATTCTACCTTGTATCGAAAGGAAAATGCGAAATTGAAAAAAGTTGCCTTATGGTTGGGAAACGTGTCAGTCACTCACTTTATATATTATTTTCAATAATTTCTTATTAGGTACTTAACGCAAATTTGGTGTCCAGTTTAGCACCAGAGTGAGAACTACCTGGACTGTGTAAAAAAGGTAAGTGCATTAAAATTAAGCTTCCATACAACCAGCAAAGGACAGATGAATGCACCATGAGTAAATGAATTTAAGGAATGAAATGATAATCAATATGTTCACCTGTTATTATATAGGTAAACCTAGCTATTACACTCATTGGAACAGTTTCTGATCTAGGATTTCCAGCTAGGGGCACAATGTGTCCCAGTCATCAATTTTCAGCGGGACATTTCGTTTTTTGGTGGGATCACTATATTTTTTTATTCTAATATAACAGGCATTATGATGTTATCAACATGTGCAGTGTTCAAGAGTGAATTGAACATACAGTTGTTATCTAGAGGAAAAGTAAGATAAGTTTATTCACGCGAGATTGATATGAGATTTGATTTTTGGCAAAGCAAACAGAACATACCCTTTGATGGATTGAACTTCACCTTTTTGTACTTCTCTAGCCTGCCAGCTCTGTTGAAAGTTGCACTTTAACAACTTCGACTTTGGTTCACTCGATTGATCATTTTCACACTCTCCTTCGTCATGTTCTGTGGACATTTCTGCAGTTTCTTCTTTGTGTTGTTGCCCAAAAAATGCTGAAAGCCTTATTTGTTTTGACATCAATTTGTATTCATGTACATCAAGAGAGAGGCTGTCATCTACATAATCTACAGTTGTACCCTCTATAGTATTTATTCAAACTGTAAAGTGCCAGGGAACCTCGGAAAATTGAACCTTTATGTCATATTTTCTGGATTTTGATTCTTACTTTTCTTTTAATCTTCTGAAATTTTAACTAAAATATTGTTTTAAGAAGATTTTGTACAAGGAGCAATTACATTTCCTTGTTTCTTTTTCTTTTGAAACATAATTTGAAGTGCTCTAAAATGACCCAGAACAGGTATTTGAGGGGAAAAATGCAATGGCACGCTCTAGATCAGACACTGTTGGAATAAAATAAGTTTTTAAGACATACATGTAGTATTTTCCACTTCAGCATCAGTTCCTGACCTGGGAATGGAGGTGGGTCTTGACAAACTACAAGCCAGTAAGCCATGCAAGTCACACAAGCCATCAGTCAAAATAAACTAAAAAAAAGGCAAACTGCAAATTTTACTGATTAAGAGTTGAGCACTCATTATTCAGATTAGGGTTAAGCACTCTCATATTGTATTGATTAGGGTTAAGCTTTTCTTTTACGGATAAGGGCTAAGCACTCATTTTAGGGCTAGGGTAAAGTGCTGTTTAGGGTTAACTCTAATTTACAATGGTTAACTTTCAGTTAAATGTTTTCCATATTACTGTTTTGTATTTTTTTAAAATGAGTCTTCAATGGACTTCATGGCTGGCTGGCTTGCATTTTATACACACTCCTGGGAGGTACTCAACAAACTTTTATACGGGGAAGCTCCACTCTGATGTCCAATCCCTAACCCTTTCATATCAACCTTTTATTTATTTTATATCACATCACCATATTTTTATTTTATTTCATCATTTATAACAGAAAAGGTAACCCTTTCGTACACATTCCATTAAAAAAATGGTACCCCTTTCACTTACATGTAGTTGGTTAAAAACTTTTCATTCCTCATCACGAGGTCTTCTTGGTTAGTGGTTCAATAACATGGCAATTTGCTGCACGATTGTCATCATTTTGCACATATCACAAATTCTTCCAAATTTAATCGACAATAGCTATATGATGAATTATGCGTGGGATTTCAGCCAAACAGAAATAAAGAAAAATTTTAATGAATAATAATAATGTAGTTTATTATTAAGACTAACTCAATGCTGGCCAAACTACATGTTTCTTTTAAAACTAAGATATCCTTGCTGTCCTGGGAAGGGCAAATTTAAATTGCCATAAGGGTCTGTAAGAACACATCCATGCATATGTTTCCACGTACCGTAAATCCTCTATTAAAGGGTCAGGTTCACGGTTTCACAGCGCATGCTAGTTAAAAATGCAGTATATTGTACACTGATTACTTTTATACCGTTCTTGAAACGTATTTTGCATCAGCCGGTGACACTGAAAACTGTTATTACACAAGACATCAGGTAACAGAGAAACGTAGGGATACCACTCTTATTGGGATACTCTTCAAATCGCACACTGATACTGGCCATTGGAAAAAAGTGACAAACTTCTCCAACGTTATTGTAAGCTCATACTGAAAACAAAAATGATGAGATATCCTCCGAGTAAATGAATAGGTAAATAAATAAATAACGATTTGAAGGTAGCACATCCACATAGTGGTTCTTTGTCTGCCTAATTCCTGGATAAATTAGAATTTGGAAATGTTAGTTTTTGAGGAGACGGGAAAACCGGAGTACCCGGAGAAAACCTTCGTGGCAAGGTAGAGAACCAGCAACAAACTCAACCCACAAATGGCTTCGACGCCGGGATTTGAACCCGGGCCACATTGGTGGGAGGCGATGGTTTCACCGCTGCGCCACCCTTACTCTAATCGCTAAACCTTAGAATGTACAAACTCATACTTTCTTTATTGACGTTTTGTCCCTACAGGTAGTGGATGAGTGCAATTGCTCCCTAGATTTCTGCCCTTTCCATCTTCAGTGTCTTACCTGATATTGATTCAGAGTGGCCACAACACCAGACTCTGCACTCTTTGGAGATTGCCAAGTAAACTTTACTGATGATGATTCTTATTTTCCTAGTTTCAATTAAGATTCACATTACTGCAAACTAAAATTATCAACGCGGACGGTGGGAGTCCTAGTTTCTCTTGTGAACTGATTTATTGTGGAACTTGACGGAGTGTATAGCCGTTGAAACGTATTTTGCGTAAACCGCTGACACTCAAACCGATATTACACAATGAATCAGGGAAAAGGGAAACGTAAGGATACCAAACTAAAATTATCAACGCGGACAATGGGAATTCTGGTTTGTTTGGGAACTGATTTGTATGTGGAAATTCGACGGAGTGTATAGGCGTTGTAACGTATCATAAGTTTGCGTAAACCGCTGACACTCAAACCGATATTACACAATAAATCAGGAAACAGAGAAACATAGAGAAACCACTCTAATTAAGGTAATTTTCAAATTGAAAACTTATGCTAACTCCTCAGTTTCCTCCAGGTGATGGTAGCACGCTTTGGGATTGCCAAGCAAACTCTATTGATCATGATTCTATTTTTTCCGCTTTCTTTAAGGAAAGGCGATCCGCATTAATCGAATCTAAAATTATCAACGCCGACAACGGGAATCCTGGTTTGTTTGGAAACTGATCTTTTTGTGGAAATTGGACGGAGTGTATAGGCGTTGAAACGTATTTTGCGTAAACCGCTGACACTCAAACCGATAACACAATAAATCAGGGAACAGAGAAACGTAGGGATACCACTCTAATTAGGGTACTTTTCAATTTGGAATCTTATGCTAAGTTCTTAGTTTCTTCCTATCTCTACATGTCATGGTAGCACGCTTTGGGATTGTCAAGCAAACTCTATTGATCATGATTCTACTTTTACCGCTTTCTTTGTTAAAAAGAAGGCAGTCAACATTACTGCAATCTAAAATTACCAACGCGGACAACGGGAATCCTCGTTTGTTTGGGAACTGATCCTTTTGTGGAAATTCGACGGAGTGTATAGGCGTTGAAACGTATTTTGCGTAAACCGCTGACACTCAAACCGATATTACACCATAAATCTTTATCAGGGAACAGAGAAGTGTAGGGATACCACTCTAATTAGGGTACTTTTCAAATTGAAAACTTATGCTAACTTCTTAGTTTCTTTCAGGTGATAGTAGCACGCTTTGGGATTGCCAAGCAAACTCTATTGATCGTGATTCTATTTTTTCCGCTTTCTTTTTTAAAGAGAAGGAGATCCACATTAATCGAATCTAAAATTATCAACGCGGACAACAGGAATCCTAGTTTGTTTGGGAACTGACTTTTTTGTAGAAATTCGACGGAGTACATAGGCGTTGAAACGTATTTTGTGTAAACCGCTGACACTCAAATCGATATTACACAATAAATCAGGGACGAAAGAAACGTAGAGATACCAAACTAAAATTATTAACTTTGGACAACGGGAATCCTGGTTTCTTTGGCAACTGACTTTCGACGGGGTGTATAGGCGTTGAAACGTACTTTACGTAGAACCGCTGCCACTCTAACCAATATTACACAATAAAGCAGGGAACAGAGAAACGTAGGGATACCAATCTAAAATTATTAACTTGGACAAAGAGAATTCGGGTTTATTTGGGGACTGATTTTTTTTGTGGAAATTCGACGGAGTGTATAGGCGTTGAAA